TGCAACAATAGATCTCACACTTGGAACACTTTAGAACATTTTAGCCAAGTAAGCAGCAGTAAGTTGCAACAATAGATCTCACACTTGGAACACTTTAGAACATTGTAGTCAAGTAAGCAGCAGTAAGTTGCAACAATAGATCTCACACTTGGAACACATTAGAACATTGTAGCCAAGTAAGCAGCAGTAAGTTGCAACAATAGATCTCACACTTGGAACACTTTAGAACATTGTAGCCAAGTAAGCAGCAGTAAGTTGCAACAATAGATCTCACACTTGGAACACTTTAGAACATTGTAGCCAAGTAAGCAGCAACTTGAGAATCTTTTATGCCACTATCCTTCACTAGCAGAAATGCCGCCCGACTGGTAGCTGTTTGTGTTAGTAATTACTAATAGTAGTATTCATACCTCATTGAAAAAAATTTAGAAAAAGTGAACATTTTCTAAAAAAGAGGATTTTTTTCTGGCAAGTACCACACAGGGAAATGTTCAGATTATGCTCTTTAGTCATATGCAACTTATTGCATCAAAATGATTCAATGTACAGAGCTTAAACTTTTCATAAATTTTACTGATATAAACTGTAATGATTTTATATATTAAAAGTGCTACCCTTTATTGAAAAAAAAAGTTTTTTTTAAGAACTAGAGTTTCTCAGTACAAGATTTAAATATTACATCAATAAAGATATAATCCAACCCTCATGTACAGTCCTAGTGAAAGCTGTGTTTTTGTTGTGAGGAGAGTACTTTTACTTAAAAATGTGTTCTGTTATAAAGAACTGTTTGTTGCACATAACACAGTTAATTTTCTAATTGTTTGAGTCTTGAATAACTAAAGCATGAAATTTTTTTATGGATTTTTGTTTGTGGTGCCAGCCATTCAATAGATGGCATAGGAGTTTTGGTTACATACACAATACATCCATTATAGTAAGAAAAAAATTACTTACCTGATGGCTAAATATTTGTCTAATAGATTTAGAAATTTTTTTTATCATTTCTAACATAACTAAAATTGAGAAAAATAAAAGATTGAAGTTGCTATATTCTCAGTTAAGTTGGTAAAAGAAAGAAAGAGAAAAATCAGTTATTAAACATATACCTATATCTTATGTAATTCTTACCACTTTCAGGTTTAAGTTCATTAAGTTTTCTAGTCATACTTTGGTTCTTTTTCAGCTGTTCTTCAAAAGCTTCACGATAAACATCAATTACCTGTTGAGCTTCTTCTAATCTACTCTGTAACCCTTCCACCTAACAACAAAAAATCTTTTATAATGTGTTGAAAAGCGTTATCACTGTTTCCTATTTTTAAACAAGTTTAAACTCAATATTTTCAAAAGATAGAAGTAAAATGTGCCGGTAATAAATGTCATTTTCTCACTATTTTTGGAGAAACAAAACGCTACCTGTAGTTTATGATAAGATGAGTAATTTAACTAACCACACAAGTTAAATTATACTACACTAACTAGTGCAAAAAGAAAAACATTTTTCTAAAACCATTCCACAGACTTTATTATTATAAAAATAAGTAAGTATAATAATCATATGTAGAAAAAATAGTATGAAAAGTGAGGCTGCAAAATTAGGCTTAGCAGCCTTAAATAAATATTTCACAATTTGTTCAATGTAAGAAATGAATAAAAACTCTATAATCTGAGCACTTTCAAAAGGTGGACCTTACTTCTTCAGGGGCAAGCTTATTTATTATAATAATGTTCTTTCTTTTGTTACAAAGTAGAAATAAAGTTTGGACACCCTTGCAAAATCCAGAAACTTAACTGAAAAGTGAAAACTCAAGCTCTAGTGAGATGATGGAGTTGTTTTAATATTCAGATTGTGAATATTTTGAATTTTGCAGTTAATTATTGAAAAACTTTTTATATGATGAAAATTATCTCCTATTTTTTGTTTTTCTGTGTTTAAGGCCATTTTAACCATAAAAAAAAAGCATGTAATGTTTCCATCCACAGATACATTGCCAATTTGTTAGCAGTGCTCATTATATACAAACTTCACAGGCTCAAGAAACTGAATTGAAGAAAAAGACAATAAATTACAGATTTACAAAATTTACAGTTACAGCAGCACAGAAGCTTGAAAATCATAAAAATCTTTTCACAGTATGGGATGAATACTACTGATCTTATCACATATAAACAGCTTACAAAACAGAACACAAACATTTTCACATACATCAAAAATGAAGAGATGGAAAACTAATTTTATAGCACAGTTTGAACTCGGGAACACCTAAAATATTAAAACTCCAGTAAACATTACATTTCAAGTCAAGTCAAACCCATGACTGTTCTGATTGATAGAACACCTTTGATTCACCTGTTATAACTCTCCAGGTTTCCCAGTTTTTGCCTTTGTCAAACCTTCTGCCACTAAGGTCTTAGTTCATTCCTTTATGTTAGTCATCCAGTTTATTTTTGAACTTCATCTTTTTTAACTTCCCTTCCATGGCTCCATCCAGGATAGTATTTGCAAGGGTGCCTAGTTTTCACATCACATGAGCAAATCACTGTATTTTCCTTTTTCTCATAGTTTTTATTAACAGTTCATGAACGCTAATTTTCTGCACAATTTCTCTTTAACCGACTTGTTTACTCTGTGCATGATACAGGAAATCTGTAAAGGTTGTCTGAGGAATCTCATGTCGAAGGTTTCTAAATTTAACCAGGCATGTATTGATGTCATTGTAAGTTATGTGTTATTATTTTGTGTATAAAGACATATAAAATATCAATTCTGGTAAATAATTACACTGGAATAATCCTACAAATATATATATTCTTTTACCTCTAGTAGTAGTTCAGCTATGGTATGTTGCTTAAGGCATGCTGCTTTGGCACAGCCACAGGGTTCTTGCTTTGACCCTCTACACACACAAGCTCCCAGGACTCCAAGCTGAAAAACATAAATAAATAAAATTATTGCTGCTTCCAAACATAGCATGTAAATTCTAGAAGAAGAAGAATAGGGTATTTAAAATACTGATTTGATAAAAGAAATTTTCAAAAATTCTGTTACTGTGATTTATTTGTATGTGTGTGCATAGCCTCTGAAAAAAAACTATTAAATTCATATAAAATCATTTAAACTAATAGTCTTAAACACACATTAAAGACTATAATGTTTTCTTCACTCTAACTATATTATGTTTTATTTGGTGTTGTTATTGTTGTTTTAGTACAAAGCTCACAATAAGATATTTGCACTCTGTCCAGTGTGGGGAATCTAACCCCACGTCTTAGCATCATAAGTCCATAAACCAAGTAACAAAGGGACTTTATTTAGTGACACTTAAGTCTTAGACCTATTGCAGGCACTGACAAAGAGACAAACGACTACTAATAGAAAATCAGTTTGAACAACGTAATAAACTGAATATATTATCTGAGACATTCAGTGCAGGACAGTAACAATAAATACAACTATATAAATCCTGTTAGAGATCAAAGTATAGTTACATTCAGATTACAGCATAAAAGATATATCTATGCATACTCATTACATAACAGTATAAATCTCACACATAATTTAGTTTCAACTGATTCATCAGGTAGAAAATGAAGTTTTATAATAAATATAAAAACACACAGTGATACTAAAAAATATCTTTAATACGGAAATCTCAGAATTTCCTTAAATTACTTCATCATATCTAAAAAAAATTAGTTCATAATATTAGGACTACAAAAACAACATTAGCATTGAGAGAGTTTTCATATTCAATCGGAACTTTAGAAAGAAACGATTTAAACAGTAACAATATGATGGAATATACCATAAAACACGTGCAGCATACATGTTTAATAAATAACATTGTTAAGAGAAACTGTATCTGTAAAATAATAATAAATATCAAATAAAAACACTGAGAATATGGAATTGATCACATTAATGACAACAGGGAGGGATTGATGTTATTATTTAGTGTTGGGAGGCTTTCTTTAACAAAGAGTTTGTAATCTGTGGTTCCAGAGTCGAGAATTTTAAAGTTTTCTAGAAGTATGGAGTGTTTGTTAATCTCACTGTGTTATGGATACAAGATTTGGGTGGAACACTTAGCTTACATTCGCTTCTTGCAGAAATTCCCATGTGCACTTGTGCACATATGTGATGTGTAATTTTACTAACATAGATAGCTTTACAGCTACCACAAGTGTATTTATATACGACCAACGAGCACATAGGAATGGGTCGTGTCTTTGGTTTTAGACATATTTTTAACTCTAAATGTTGACATAAATACTAAGCTTAATTTGTGGGTTATGTGTTTTGAATTTGATATTTTAGTTTCAAATTTTGTTTACCAATGAAAGAAATGATAAAAATTAGTGGATATTTTGAGACAGTGTGTGACATTTCGATAGTTCCAATTTTATTTGTTAAAGATTTTCATGGGAGTGTAAGAAATTAAGGGGATAACCATTACATTGTAATATGTTAAGGATTTTTGAAATTTCTGAATGAAGACAGAAATAGTTAAAACAGATATCACACACTCTGTTCAAAGGACTCAGAACAAGGTTATGTTTGAAGGAGTCTAATATGAAACTGTCGAAACGAGTGTATAAACCAGTAAATGTTTTCTTACAATAAAATCATGTGGCAAAGAGATTTTTTATTTTGTTTATCTGAATGTCTATGAAAACCAAGATATATTTTCTTCCATATCACATGTAAGGTTTATACATGGATGTTGTGAGTTTAGGTATTCTAAAAACTATTTGGCGTGATCAGTGTTGTGAAAGAGTAGAAAAGTATAATCAACGTACCTTCTATATAATACTGGTTTGTAATAAAGGTGGTAATTATCTAGGCATTTACCTTTGTAATAACAGAGAAAAGTACTTGCAAGGGTCAGACCTAGAGGTGATCAATTGCCCCTCCGTTTATCTGGTCATAAAGATGACCATTAAAAATGAAGTGATTGTTTTTGAGGCCCAATTTAAGAAGCTGTTTGAATTTTTGTTGGTTAAAGTTAGAGAACATAGCATTTTCAGTAGGGAATAACTATTTCCTCAAGTGGAATTTTTGTGAATAAGAACTGAAGATATTAACACTGATGATAGAATTTAATGAAATTCCAAAACATTCGTATTAAAGATGTTTTTTGGTTTTACCATGTTTGTAATATTTATTAGAACTTGGTTTCACTTAAAATCCAATTAAGGAACTAGTTCCATTGATCCAACATTTAAGATCTGCTAATACTGATTATTGGTCATGGTTTCTGGTATACATTCAGAGATACAGTCGAACCTTGATTATTCGGATTTGTTGGGACTCACAAAAATAGTCCGGATAATAAAAAAAATGAATGTTAATGACAAATAAATGACAACTGAATAAATTATAAGAAACAAACTTTAATTGTGCAATTGTACTTGGATATTTACATACAAAAAGTTGGCTACAGAAGTCTGAAATGTTGAAACATTTTGGTTTGCTTCAGTGAATGCACTTTGGTTGCATAGCAAAGTTCATGCTTCATGTAAGCTGCATGATTTTAAGATGTTCAACATCGTTCTGCCTTTTCCATCCAAGACAAGCACTTTTTGAAAAAATTATTGTTTCTGTGCTTCATAGTGGCTTCTCACCAGATTGGCCCTAATCTTCCTCATCACTATTTTCAATATATTCCTCAGAATTTAAAACAACAGTAGCTAAGATTTGTTCATCTGACATAGTCGGAAGCTCATTTTCAGCATTGAGACAGTCTACTACATCAGAAATAGCAAGTCCTTCATTGTTCCCTACTTGATCTAACATTTCTCTCATGGCTTCAATTGAATCATTTCCTGGTTCTTGTTGTAAGTTGGCTGGCTGTTATCAGGAGGACTTGCAGATTCTTGAATGTGTTGAATACTGAATCGGGCCTTCCCTTTTCCCAAGCATCGGACAGCACGTAAAGCAAGTCTTTTACGGTGTGTAGTTTATAATTTCTTGAATACTCTTTGCTTGATCAAAGTCGTGAGCAAAAATTATTTTCTGTGGGAGTTTTCTCTTGTATCAGTTCTTCATTGCTTGAAGGACTCCTCAATCCATCAAATGAATTATGGAGGTTGTGATGGGAGGAAGAAACATATAGGTAACAGAACCATTGTGGCTTTTGAGCTCATCAGGATGGGCAGAACAATTGTCAATAAGCAAGAGAGCTTTTGGGGAGCAGATGTTTTGAGAATACTGGTGGTGTTTTACTGCTGGCACACATTTTTTCCTAACATACTCGACAAAAATGTCAGAGTAAATCCATGCATTTCTTCAAGACTTGTAGATTACAGGTAGGGCATTTATAATTACATTTTAGAAACATTTCAGCTTTGTGAATTTTTCTATTAGAACGGGTTTTAGTTGTGAATTCCAGTGGCATTTGTACATCCAAGCACAGTTAAGCTATCCTTTGATTTTTTTGAATCCAGGCACAGGTTTCTCATGGCATGAAATGAGGGTTTTTTTTGTGGCAAGCATTTCCATAAAAGTCCAGTCTGCATTGTAGATTTGTTCAGGGTCAAATCTTTTCCTCAATCATGTTGTGCAGCCTCTGTAAAAAGGGTTCAACAATTTCTTCAGCCACCAAAAGACTTTCACCTCGATTACTGAAGTTCCTTATGTTGTGTCAATGTTTAAAATTTTCTAACCATCCTGTCGATACTTTAAAGGTTTCACAATCAACCGACAGTGCAGTATTCAACTGACTGAAGAGATGTTTTGCTTTCTCTTGAAGAAGAGGGCCTAAATTGGTGTACCAATCGATCTTTGCTGAATAAACCAAGCATACAAAGCCTTATCCAGTTCTTTATCATTTGCAACCTTCAAGGACATTCATTGCAGTTCTTCTCTTGTCTCCAAGTTATTAGTGAATTTCATGATTTTGTATATGTTTTGTTTATCACAGACAAGTTAATTGCTGATGCCATATTCAAGAGCTAAATCTGTCCCTTTTTCTCAATGTAAGATAATTGACTGCTCATCTTTAATTGAGAGAACTGATCACTTTTCCTTCACAGACATGGTTGTTTTATATTTTGGTGCTTACGTCTGTGTTTACACACTCATGCTGATAGAACTATGTAATAACACAACATTTCCCATAGCAACAAATACTATTAAGCCAATCAGAATATAGCTGAATGCACACACGTGCTGCACACTCTCCGCTCACATTTTCAATACAAAATTAAACAGAAGATAAAACAATTTTCTGTAAGAATTATTATGCTTTTTAGTGTTAGGAGTTCTCACAATCATGGTTTATTAATATTCATGAAAAAACTGGGACCAGAGAGAAAAAGTCCGGATAATCGAGGTTCGACTAGAGCTAGTAACTGTTAATAAAGATAGCCTCTGATTTCTATCAGTGGCATTTTCACTCTGTAAATAATCTTTGTCCTTAATAGAAATTCAGGAATTGGTTCCTTTTTATGAAAAAAAATTCTCTCACATAGGGGACAATATGAATAAAGATTGTACACTGAAGTTGGTACACCAAATGTTTTACAGTGTACAAAAGTCTTAAACCTACAGTACAGGCTTTACTATTCTTATTGCACCTGGGATAAGATTAAGGTTCTAGTGCTGATTCTACTAACAAGTCTTTCAATCAATTACCAGGTTTATCAATTAATTAATGTTGCTTTCTCTAATGGTTTCAAAAATTTCACGGCTAACTGCATCAGAAATAAAAGGATATACCAAATTATGGTTCACTACTTCAGCATTTCTTGAACTCACAGAACCTAATTTGTTCTTTTATACTTTCCAGGGATAGTTACTAATATTAAGCATGGTTTAGATTTTATCAGTACTTTTTTAACTTGTTGTTTGGTCTGAAGAAAGACACTGAGCACCAAAAATTATTTTAAAGTATTAGAATTAGCATAAGTGTAATTAAAAATATGCCACTGTGTGTTGGTTTGAAATAAAGATAATGACAGAATCTTTCATTACCTTGTTCAGACATTGGAACATCTAAGAAACTAATTATTGAAATTAGTAAAACTCCTTCAAAAACACTCACTGGGATCTACAGTAGCTGTTTCATAATAAGATATGTCTTCCAAGTGTTACAGTCCTATATCATAAAATTACCAACTCATTTCTTTGCATGTGACTTATTCAAACCAGATTTGCTGAGTTTACTAATATGAAACTCCCTCTAGAAAGTTATTTGTAATATGAACATTGAAATTAATGATTCAGGAAAACAGTGTCCTACTTGAAATGATGATGCCTCAGAGAAACTGTCATCAGAAGATATGGACAGAGAACGTTTATAATAATTTCTTTCTCTGACATCGAGCATTGCTAACATTTCATCACATTCTCGTTTCAAACCTAAAATTGAAAATGATTACACACAAACAGTCATGATGGTTTCAAACAATAAGTTCAAAACATAACTATGAAGAGAAATTGGTGTGTACATGCTGTTTCCCTCATGCACTACAGACCATTTTGGGAAAAAAGCACATTCGGGATAAAGGAAACATAGGAATGGTGGTAAAAGATTTGGGAAACATCAATAGCATATACATTTGACTTCAGACATCTGCAAGCACAAAGGAGTAGAAAATAAGATCTTAAGGGAAAGATGGTATAAAAGAACAAGGAGCTAAATGTTCAAAAGGAGGAAGACTAAGGAAATGAAACACAACACTGAAATTCCAATCTGGGAGGACAACTGGATGGGGAGGGTTAAGAAGGCAAGGAAAAGACATGCCAAAAATGTGAAAAGGAAAAATGTGTTGGATAGCACTGCCTTATAGCCCTCAATGGTAGAAGTGGAAAATTCATTGTCAAAGAGCCAAGTGAAAAAAATTGGAAATGTGGAAAATGGTAGGTTAGGAAGGGGAAAAGCCATGATACAAAGACCAATGGTGGAAAATATGCCATTTATGCTGGTAAACAAGTAAAGAGGAAGAATGAAGAGAACAATAAATAACGAAGGCTACATATGAAGAGAGTTTAGAGAACATTACAAAGGGAGTTGACAAAACCCATGGATAGTTTGGATATTGGGGATGAGCAAAGGATTAATGAGGTTGGCAGTAGAGGAATTGGAAAAGAGCAAGTGAAAGGTGAGGTCGAGGAGATGATTGTAGTATGCTCAAAAGTGGAAACCACAGTTGGATCAGCCAGAACAGAGCAACTAGATGGACCCAACATAGAATGGGTTTAGTAAGTGTTACTACATGGGGAAAAAGATGGACAGATGGGGAGGCATACAGATGAAGATCAGACCAGTCCTGACTGAATGCATCCACAGCAAGAGCTGAATGATGTGGAACAGGTGACCAGAACAGAGGAAGTTTGGTATTGAGATGTGTGGCACATGCATTTAAAAGGGGATACACAGCTAAGAGCACAGCCACTGAAACATCTGAGGCTAGAGAGACCACTTCTTTGAGAGAATTATGTTGGGACTAGAAAAATGATCAGTGACAAGATTCAGATCACTCAGGATGTGACAAATAATATGCCAAAGTTGTTAAGACTGAGCCTAGAAAAGGTGATTGTGTGTGTTAAAAAAAAAGTGAATGAGACCAGGTGTATCCTTGACAACTGATATAGGCAACAACTGTCAAATTGTCAGAATGTATCATGATGAAGCACCCGCAGATCACTGGAAGAAATAATCCAACACCCAACAAACAGCTAAAAGCGCCAAGATATTGATATAGATGACCGGCTATTTGAGCATCCAAATACAACCCCATCCTATCAGAGATGCATCTGTAAAAAAATGAAAATTCAGAGAAGATTCAGAGTATCCAAGATGTGACAGGCAATAAACCAAACTTGTCAAGATTGGGCCCAGATAAGGAGATAGAATGTTCAAAAACAAATCAAACAAGACTATCTCTTGAGCATCCAAATACACCCCACCCCATCAGGGATGCATCCGTAAATGGATGAAAATCTGGACAAGGAGGAGGCAGAGGAACACCAGCTGAGGTGTTGTCTCTGTTGAGCCACCAGGCAAAGTCAACATGAAAGGTGGGTGATTGAGTCCAAGGGATCCCGAAAGAGATTCCACTGATCGTGCAACATTCATTAAAGACAACACATGTCTACATGACTCCAAGGGATGAGCGCTTCCATAGAACCTTGCACACAGTGGAAGAAGGAGAAGTCCTGGCACTGAAAACCAAGTGCTCCATGTCCTGCAAACGAAGAGAAAGCTAGGGCCTGCTGAGGTAAGAGTTGAAAAACACCCTCAAATGGATAAGGTATGGAGGTGAGATGTGATTTCTCCCACTTGACGAGCCATCCAAAAGGTGCTACCTCCTGAAGAAGGAAATTAGTATGTTATTGAGAAACCTGGTGGGAAGGAGCCAAAAGAAGCCAGTCATCTATGTAATGGTGAAACTGCAATCCAAAGTCTTGAATATGACAAGCAAAGACTCTGTCTGTGTGACAGAAAATGTATAAAGATGATGAAATGGGAGAATGCAAAATTGAAATACCTGATCCTCATGAACAAACCAGAGATAGCATCTGGATGCTGAAGGAATAGGAATATGCAGGTAAGCATCCGAGATATTGACCATGATCATTCAAACATCTGAAAGGAAAAACCATCAGAGGTTGAAAAAAAGACACCACACTGAAACAAGGGAGGTTGATGAAGTAGTTGAGGCTCAAGAGATTGATAACAGGATGCCAATCCCTAGTCTTCTTGGTGACAAAAAACAAATAAAACCCCGGATATGGAAGAGACACCTGTTCAATAGCATTCTTCTGCAAGAGATTCAAAACTGTCTCTGAAAGATGCTGGCAATAAAGAGGATCCTGAGTAGGAGGGAAAAGAATGGAAACTAGAGACAATGGAGGAAGAAGAAACTAAGATTCAGGCCATTTGCCAAAATCTGGAGGACCCAACAATCTGCTGTGGAAGGCTGCCATAGATGAGCAAATTGGGACAACTATGCCCACACTGTGCCAGAATTAATGAAGCAGTCATTGACAATACTGGCATCTTTAAAGGTGATGATGGGTGATCTGATGACTAGAAGCTAAAACAATAACAGGAAGAGGAGGGGAGGCCAGAGGTCAAGAAACAGACATAGAAGCAGGATTGAAACAAAATTTTATGACATTTACTTTAAAGGTAAAAGAAATATTTGGTATTAATCTGAAAAATCCATCTAAATTAAACAAGTTCACAAGTCTTAGAATGCTCTATAAATTGAGGTGATTGACTGCTGTCAAAAGCTTTTATATACAAAAAAAAAAAGTAGAGAAAACTAAAAAAATGTTACACAAAAATACAACATAACAGTAAAAGACCATCCACTGTAAAGGAATTAATTCAGAAAAGCTAAAGCCAAAGCCACAAGCTACTCAAATGTTATCAATAATTAATGGTCTATAAAATCTATAACATAATGCAAAGTATGACACCAAAAATATACAATTATACTTTCTTCAGAAAAATTTGAAAATGAACTAAAATGAGCCCAATTGTCTAAGACTAACCTTGATTTTCAAGAGTGATTTTCTTCAACTTCATAGCCTGGTCTCTAACTGTTGCTTTAAGCTCATCATTTTCTCTACACACACTGCAAAATAGATTACAAAATAAGATATTACTTAGACAGAGAACCACCACTAAGAAATAAATACAACCTAATACTTAATTTCTTAACTTTCAGCTAGGGTCTTGGAGATCTTTAACAATCAACACATGACAAATTAGCTAAAAATCACATTTAAGGATGTGAAAGAAAACTCAAACACATGATTCAACAAACTTTCATATTTTATTGAGTTTATCAACTTTTTACAGTTCTATAACATATCTATCAGAACAAGTAATATTATACATAAAGCATCAAAACAAATAATGCTTTTCATTAAATCTATGGTCATTTTAGATGAAATAAATTTTGCTATGTTACATCTAATGCACAAGTTTTAATCAAAAAGATTTTTTATGAGGGAAAATATCCCAATTATTACACTTTAATGAACTAAAGTCATTGTATGTTTTTGTCATAATGTAGTTTTATGAAAGTTTTATTGGATACTAAACAGTGATTTACATAATTTCCATTATAATTTTCCCAGATTAATAAGTGTTAGTCACCTATAGATATTCATCAATATTATTATGAAAAGACCATGATGTTGTCTAAAGGGTTTACTAGCAAAAGGTGACTTAGACTAAGGCCAATTGTGCTAAATAGAGTAAAATACCACAAACAATAGTTTCATCCATTAAAACTACCAAGCCTGAAACTATTTGCTTGTAGCATGTGCACTTATTTGTATGTTGCAAAAAGTATGTTGAGTACATTATTATTACTGTAACACAATTAACAGAGAGCTGCAAAAGTGGAAAGGAAAATCACATATCTCAATCAAGAAAGAGAGAAAAAAATAAAACTTTTTAGAAGTAAGGTACGATAAAACTTTTAGATTTGAAACTAAAATATTAAATTTTCTTACATTTGGATATAATTTCAGAAACTTCTACCATACAACAGTATTTTCCTGGATAAAAAAGCAACTATTTATAGGTAGGGTAGGACTTGCAGATAGGTCAAACTATAGAAGTTTTTATCTGACTTGGAGTTTGACATTGAAGAGAAGAGACAGTGAAAATATAACTAACTCAGAACTACTTACTATAAACAAGGATGCAAAAACATGTAGTATACAAACAGGATCTTTACCAAAGTCAATGTTGTGCACTGAGAACATTCAAGACAATGATGCCTGTATTCTACAGTTAAATAATTTCAAAGCCAACAAGAAATTTCCTGCAGAAAAGCTTCTTATTAAAATGATTAAGCTCTGTTAACATTATTCAAACAAAGATATGCTATGTCTGCTATATTTTTTGAAGTTTCAGAAAAAATAAAACATATTTGTTACTTGATCAATTTTAAGTATCATAAGTGGCATGAATTGAACAACTGGCAGTGACCTAGTTGGTTTGTTTACTCCTCTAGACTTTAACAAGAAACTTCAAAGAACCCACTATATTATAGGTGTGACCGAGACCTTGACCAAAAGAACCAGAAACAAAACAAAATACTGGTCAATTTACAAACATCACAGCATACTGAAGACAACACTTGGAAGCACACTTAGTGGATTTGTGTCTTACATTCCAGGTGCATATGAAATCTCCCAGTGATAGGCTCTTGTGTAAATGCAGCTCCCTCATGGCATCATGATCCAGGTGATAGTATCATGGCTTATAATAAGTTGAATGTGCAAGATATTTTTGAATTATATAACATAACAGTAAATATCCCAGCTTTGTTACAGGAATAAACAAAAACTACTCTTGAAAGAACATGAAGATAGCCAGCAAACATTTTACAATTGAAAGAGTTATTAGATTAACTTGCAACAGTTTCACAATTTTGCTCATGCCACTATGACCAAAATAATGCAGTCTGAGGCACTTTTAAAATGAATGATGTTTGCTCTCTTATATTATATAGACTTGGGTTCTAAACTTTTTATCATTTTGAAATATATGGCAGTTTTTTGTTAACGAAAATATAAATTGTAAAATACAGGCAAATACAGAATTTCTGGTTGAAGACTGGTGCTGTGATGGCTAATATCAATAATACAAATAGAAATGAAATACTAATGTGACATTTGGTGTAAACACTGTTAAGAAATAGCTATGTCATATAATAACCAAAATATAATGGTTCAAAAGAATATATCCATCACAAAAAACAGTTACTTTAACACATTAAAATACTGACTTATTGCACACTTGAAATAAAATGATAGCTATAATACTATTACAAAATTATTTATATCATGCATTAGCTTTCTGTTAACTGATAAATACTAGTCACAGACTGTTTCAAAAGCCAGTTGACAAGCAAAGATGGAAGATACTGGCCAGTTACAATGCTTCCAAAACCTCTGTGAGGGGCTACATATCAAATCAGTCATAATTTCAAAAAGAAATGTTCAAGAACTTCCCTATCTTTATATTTCTGCACCACATGGCATTATATGATTTGTGATTTCTGTACTTCAGAATTTTCTAACATCAAAAATAAGCTGTTACGGTTTCCAACTAATCATAAACACAAACTATATATAATTACAAGCAAGAATCTAAAGCTTGAGCCTCATACCTTACTGACTTTCAAAGATATCAATAAATTCATCAAACCCACCAGAGAAGCCCCCTCCTCTTATATACTAATTTTTCAAATCAACTTTATATGACTGATGAACATGTTTATAACCAATACAAAGAGCAAGTTCTCCTCTTCATAAATCTTACAAGTCATCATATAGTTTTTCATGATGTAAACCTTTAATCAGCAAAACAGATTGATATGTGTAGATCATATTTTGGTTCTCTGAATGCTAAAGGACCTTTTTTAACACATGTATATTTTAATTAGACAACTGGATGGACTATAGTAGTTTTGGGATATCATATTCTAGTGACTAATAAATTTTACATGTTCTAAAACATATATTTGAAAACTATATGAATTCCTCTTTGGACAACAAAATTCTTCAGGCTCAACAAAGCTTACAGAAGAATGTCTAAAATTTTCACTCGCATGCAAAGGAACCCAAGTATGCAAGTACTACAAATCCTTGTTTTATGTATATATTTTTTAACAAAATCTAAAAATTAAAAACTTCTCATCTGAACCTTACAAAACCACTAAAATTTCAGAAGCTCTAACACTGTGAAACACTGCACTCAGCAATCATGTGGTGTTTAGGTTAGTTCTATGGAAACCAACTAATTGGCTCCCACTACGATTTATTGCCTTTGATGTAAGTATTACAGCAGTAAAGCCACAAATGTAAAAGAAAACATATGAAAAAATTTTGACATTCATTTATGAGATTCTAGAGGTTGATGAGATATAAAAAACTATAAGATGGATAAAAGGAATTTTTTATTCTTGGCATGAAAATCACCTTTCACTCAGACTGACTCAGTTAGAGCTTCAGAAATCCATACAGACAAACCTAGTAAAAATGCTTTAATAAAAACAATCAGATTTTTTTTGTGTACAAAAGACTTGTAATGTTTAATAAGACCTTGAAATATTTCATGAAGACACATGCAATAAATTCATATACAGATACAGAGTCCATAAATTTGACCAAGTCAGTGAACAGATGGTTAATTAACAGCAGCACTGCAATGTTAGAATTTTTTTTCCAAGAATCATTTTTTTTCTATTAATATGTGTATGTTTATCAGCTTGTTAAGGGTTAAGAATGAACAAATGTCAGGCAATGACTCTTATGTCTTGTGTGGTGAATAAAATAATTAGTAAATGGTCATTCTAGGATTGGCGGTAGTTTCTTCTAGTAGAAAGGTTCATATATTTAGTTGAAGGAAATATGTCTTACAAAAACAATGGTCACAAAGAAAAAAAAATCATCTGAACACAAAGTAGCTTCAAGCTGTAATCCATATTTGATAGTTGGCACATTGTCAAGTGGGATGGCTGATGAATGATACATGCAATTTTGTTCTTGTCGCTTTAGCCAATTTTCCAAAATTTGATTCCATAATCTTGAATAACACATGAAACCACTACTGTGATGGTTAGAGATCTAAGTAAATAAACCTTATGTATCATGAATCTGTGTTGTTATACTACATCATGTAAACCCCAATAAACCCTCATTACTTACAAATGATAAACATGGTTATCTCTATGAAACTATTATTTATTTATACATGGGTGGTAATTCATATCACCCAATGCACAGGACTACAAGTTTTGTCAATATACTTTGTCTGTCTAACATTCTTAAACCTCACTAACACATTAAAAGGTTTTTCAAAGTGAAAAATTGGATTCCAATGCTAAGGCAGTCATATGTTGTTTAAAAATTCACATGTACCTACTGTAAAGAAGTTTATATTGGCTCCATTGTATGTCAGTTAGTGGTTCATATCAAAGAGCATCTCAAACTAAGAACAAAACAAGTCATTCCAGTACTTACATACATTTCAACAATGTGTGCTGGGACACCTTATAATAAAAACCTCAACAGACAATGAAAAAACATTTTAAACCAAAGAAACTTTGCTGATTAGAGCCAAGTCTTACTGAAACTTTTTTGAATAAGAATAAAACTTTAAAGTTATTCAGATAAAACAGTACTATTGTGTAGCAACACTATTTAACTTCTCCATGCTAGTCACTCTAATGTTTAATTATTATGCTGATGATACGATATACATAAACTTCTTAAACTTATCTGTGTAACACTGAAACCAAATTTTCAGTATTTTTTTACATTAAAAGAAGGGAAACTTAAACTATAACAATATAGTATTTTGAATTAATCACTGTCAATTTTATAGTCCTATAGTTACCTAAATAAGTCAAATCAAATTAAAATAACATCAATATATTATGTATTAAAATTCTTTTAATTATCATAGCTTTACTTAATACTCAAAACAGAATAAATAAGTTCCAGTCTAATTAGCTAATCTTAGTTTTATTTTAAAAAGTTTTTTGTTATATAAAACTTGAAGATAGCTTTGATATACAGAAACATCTGTTAGCTGAGTTCTTGCACAGAT